TACTGAAATTACATTAGATATATACTGCACCATATATATCTATAGTTCTTGCTTTTTCAAACTTGTAAATACTTTACTATGTGTAGACTGAAACGTGGCCAATGCGGTTAGAAACTATTTCATAGATGCGTTTTGCACACTGAAGACGTGATGTTTCTAGTTATTTTACATGATCTTTGGTTTTGATTTGCATTCTACAGGTTTTGACCGGTTTGGTGGATAACATGAAGCACACGGTTATCGAGAGCTTGGTCGCTGATTATAACAGGTTCAAGAAGGAGAGAAAAATACACAACTAGCTTTTACTCTCAATGTTTAAGTTTAGCCATGTATGGTTCTCGAACCGACATGAACAATTAATCGACGCAGAATTTAGAATACAAAAGTAGCATAGACACAACTTTTCACACAAAGAAGAAAAACATAAATCAAAGATTCACAAACGAACACACCATTTGTTCCAGTGACAAAGATTTTGTCGGGTTTAGCTACAGAGGCTTACTTGGTGAGTTTGAAGTACAAGATGAGGATGATGGCGGCGACCAAAGCGGTGATTATGGCTCCAATGGTCCATTTGTTCTTGTTCATCCTCCTCGTCATGCCTGTCAAGATCTTCTTGCTCTTTCCAACGTTATCGTCTACTCCACTAAGCTGTATCAGAGTTCTAAATATTGGTTAAAGTGCGAAACCAATCACATCGTATTCAAAGAAAAAAAGTAGTCTTCTTCATGAGAAAGTCCCTAAATTCTCATCTTTTTTTTGTCACTTTAGATTTTCAATATATTTGAGAATCTGGAGTAATGAAGAGAGAGTGTTGTAGAGGGCAAATACCGTGTCACCGGCACGTAGGAGAGACTGTCTCTGACTGTGCAAGTCTTGGAGGAGTGATACGCCAATCTCTTCAGTCTCGATCATTAATCTACGACTGTCCCTGACTCTGTCTGTCGTTTTACCCAATCGTTCGGTTGACATCATCAATCTTGATCTTTGATCAGCTGAAGCCTGAACGCAAATGGCGTACCAATCAAAAGTTGTTCTGCTAGCAAAGATCACGATTATATCAAATTGAACAATACGACTGAGTCTCTAACATACCGTCACTGTGTCAGCCATACCGGCTTCGAGTAACTCATCTCGAGCAGCAGCGTTCAAGCTTCCAGTTGTGATTCTTTTCAATTCACTTTTGAAATTGTTCAGATCAGACTTGAATTCTCTCAATTTGACAAGGAGGCTAGACTTAATATTTGGTGGAAGGGCCCTTGCCTCAAGATCCATCTTCCTAATCTGGAGTGGAAAAAAAAAGAAAACACCGTCAAAATGCAAATGAATAATAGAGAAAGTTACATATATTCTATTCGAGTTACGCCTATCACATACCAATACTTCTGCATTTTCCAGTCCAGATTTAATCTCAGACAGCTTCTGCTTCTTTTGTTCTGCAATTCAGTAAAGTATCATCAGTGCACCTTAAGCTATGCAATCAATAGAGCGTAGTAATCCAGCTAATAAAACAATGATGATGATCTACACAAACCACGATATATTTAATCGTACATTGTTAAATTCAGAAGCTAAACCAGTAGGTCTATGGAGAAAAAGCTTTGTAACTTTGGAAAGATTAGAGATAATCAATTTACCTCCATCAAGCGAAATAGCAGAGGAACATTTCTTTGAAAGATTTGCAGAGAGCTCGCAATATTGCCGCTCGTATCGGTCAAACGCCTCACTCATTGTTTCAAGTGAATACCACTACAAATTCTGCAGAATCAGGGCAAATACAATGATAATGAAACCCCACAGATATGCAGGAAACAAGAACAACGATGAAATAATTACAGATTCAAGAGCCCAAAAGTACCACCAACAAGACTAGGCTTTCAAATTCTACACGAAATCAAAAGAGGAGATAAACAATGATCGAAGATTGGGCAATCCAAAACCCTAGCATATTTTGTGATCCCGAAACTAGATCGCGATACAGAATTTAGGAGAAAAAAATAAGCCACGAAAAGTAAAATTGACCGATCTCAAATTATTGACGAGACCTCATGTGATCGAAGAGCTCGCCGGAGCAGAAGCGATTATTAGGGATATAAATATGGAATCGAGAAAGCAAAAATCGCAATCAGAGAAGAGGGATTAGGCGATATAGAAGGAATGAAAACGAGACCTGAGAAAGGAGTCTGGGAGGGAAGAAGTGTTACGACGTCGGAGTCGGAGAATGGATCGGAGGAGATTCGGTGAAGAAAATTGTGGAGACGACGAATGATGAAATTGACGATGCGAATTGGAAATTTTAATTTTATTCAGAAATATGTTTTGAAGACTTTTTTTTTCGACCAAAAAAAAAAAAAAGACTTTCTTTGGTACACGACGACCACCACCTGTCGTGTTCAATAAAGAAGTTATGGGCCCAAAGCCCATATATATCTTTTTTTTTTCACAAATCCCATATATTTTAAAGTCATAAAAC